TGCGATTAGTTCAGGGGAAATGCTACAGTAACATAGCAGAAGCTGAAAGAACTCACGCCAACAAAGGGCGAGGAGAGTCGTTCCAGGAAGATAGTGGACGGCAATAGATGTTCAGGTTCCAGGCACAGAGGAACAAGTATTGGACATAATCGAATCAGGACCTTCCAGGGGCACTCAGAGCACAATAACTGACACTTTCCCTAGCATCAAATAAATACCGAGGAAGGGCTACATTCGTACCACGTTTGTACGATACACACAGCTCCATGAGATACACATGGAGCAGGAGTTAATTAACTGAATACGAGAAGCTGCTTGATAAGAGTGGATAAAAAGGAGAATACACAGGCACTAGCTTGTTTAGAAATAACCATTCAAATGTTTGCTGTTGCATGGTTTATTTTTAAACACCGATTTTCGAGGTTATGAGAACAGGTTGACATTTCATCAACAAATCTTGTTGAATTGTTTATCCTTGTCTATCTTATTGTCAGTCTGTATAATTCCATGGTTACCGGAGTTTTAAGTAATTACGAAGCCACAGGTATTTGCGCAATGTTAATTAGGCAGATTACCCAGAAGAACATTGCTGCCGTATTTCTGATATAGTTTTTTGCAAATTTCTCAGTTTTTAATAACAATTAATTTATTTTACTATTTTTTATGTACTCCTATAACAGCGCCAGACAACACCTCCAGAGGAATGACGCCAATTTTGAATCACCCTGTATGTTGAACTTTCATTTCATTTGCTTATTGGAATTTCTCCGGAACGATCCCATTATGGACTTATAGACGTATTTCCATCAAGCTATTATTTTGAATATTAACTGGTTGGAACATATATTACATGCAAGGTTTTATAAAAACTTCTCTTTTAGGATCATGCAATACTTTTATGTCATATGTTGCAAACATTTTCTTCCCCATTCTCAATTGAAGCCAAATTAATGCGAATCAAGTGACAAACAAGAACCATTTTCCAAGTATAATTGCCTTATTTATGTTAACCAATTAGCTTGAGGACCTGACAACTTTTTTGCTCTGAACAAATGACTTTCGAGGCGTCTTTCCCGCGTCACTGCAATAAAAAGTGTTTCTAATCCTGGAAATAACAGCGTACCAAGTTTTAGCTATTCAATAAGAATACTGGAGATTACTTCAGAAATATTTTAAGCCTATTATTTCAGTCCCTCACGAGCACCGTTTCCTTTTCCTAAAAGGTTTGTATTTGATGCCCTGAATACTATATATTTCGCTTTTATCTTATTGAAGCCCCAGGCAACAATTTTCGTACAAGGAGTTTTACCTTTTGAAATGTTTATGCCTCATACTCTAAGCTATATTTTCTTTAGGGAATTAATTATTCTGTTGATAATGGGGGAATACGAGCGACTTAAAATAACATTTCAGAGATTAATTTATGAAAAAATAATTAGGTGTAGGACTTAAAGATCGTTGTCCCGTATTTTAAATTGAATCAGAATCTATTAGAGTCGTTTTGGAAAACTCAACGCTCAAAATAAGTGGAGGTCTCTATTTAATTAAATCGATCTTTCAAGCAATTAAGGCTAATCTTAATCTTCTTTAATATAATGTTTTACTTGGCAGGGAAAACATTTTGAATTACGAAAAACTTTTGAAAATGGAACCCTATTACTGGCTCTTGTGTTTTCCTTCAGAGCAGCAAAACACCGCCATTAAACTGGTCTCAGCTTTCTGCAGCTAAACATTTGTTTGATTAACAGCGTTTCTGTTTGCTGTTATAATCCCAAAATCCCGTTAAGATAAATCCAATGCCCCAGTTGTATAACGAATATAATACAAGAAGGCGGGATACATACATCCGAGTGCATGCCAATATTACTCAAAGTTATTTTTAAGAAATGCCTTTTGACGAACATCGAACTTTTTGATTCTTTCTAGTGTCTTTGGGCCTTTAAATTTATATGGATATAAAAGTCAGAAAAATAGGTTTCAATTGATTCTGCAGAGTTTACGGTATCAGGAAGACATTCTGACTATTTATTGCCAGTGAGATTTACTAAATAAATTAAAGCATAACTAATAATTTGTAAATTGAACGATTAATTAAATTTGTTCAGTGAAAGTAATGCACAATCTTTGCGAAACGTAGTTTGTGATTATATTATATCGGATAAGATAGCTATTAAATGTTTTCAAGCTTGCAAAAATATGATCACTAAAGAACGTAACGGTACCAGTGTTTTCAAAAAGTTAAATCAAATTTCCTTTTATCGTCCGACTATGATTTAAATAACTCTAATATTGCGATGGTATTTGAGATTGGGAAAATTGAATCCCCTACACTCAAAGCAAAAATTCTAACGGGCAAATAGAGTAACATATTTGCGGTCTGTACTGTTTCTGTTCTCAAACCAATACGTAAAATTCGGGAGGTATTTTCTTTGTAAAGCGCCCATTTCAAAAGCAGACAAGACGCATTAGGTTTAAAAAGATTGGTCGTTATTTTTTATTTAGGTTGACTGCGCGACATGTTTTTACTTTATGTAGTGCATTCATGAGTAAACAGTATTATAAAAGATGGCTGTTCTTGAGACGTCCTCTCAAACCAGCAAACATATTCATATTTACCATTACGAAAGGTCAACAAGTGAAACTTTAAAGAAAATCTAATTTTGTGTCGTATGTTTGCATTAGTCTATACAGTCATTGAGAGTTTTTGTATCGATTCCATATATCCAAAATTCTATGTTGATAGATTTAAATAAAATTTCGGCTGTTGCATGGATAGTTTGTCTACAAAGTTGTACTGTTGAGTTTCAATAAAACTGTTAACTAAAGAAAGTAATGCCAATAGTGCAACAAGATCTATTTATGAAGTTGTCAAAATGGAACATATAAAAACCCAACAACAATTTGTGAGGTATTTAACATTCTAGAGTTCGTTTTCGTTCTCCAAACGCCCTCCTCCAAGCCAACGTCAAAACTTTCATAACGTAGCAGCAGTATGCATCTTGGGACGGCACATTAGCAAACTCTGTAGCTGGTCCAAAGGTGTCCTTAAAATACATAAATTAAACTTATATAGTGCAAACATGTTTAATGTCATCAGAGCTTTACAGTCTCATATTAAAAACTTAGGTTTTTGCAAAAACGTTTGCACTGTAAAAATATTGCACAGTGCTAAAATCAACGAAAATTTGTATGCTGTATCAAATCGTTTGAAATGCAATTTCCCTTATTTCTCACGAGCGAAAGTAATTGGAGAACAAGGGCCGAATGTTGCTGCTCCTCTTTACGCAATTTTACATGTAATAATTTGAATAAAATGTACTGTTTAATTCTATTCTAAGACACTCTTTTGAGAAAACTGGTTTAGAAAAGCGCAATTCAAAATTAAATTATTATACAAAATAGCACCATTAAATTACAATTGCAAACGTGTTAAGTTGTTAAAAAAGTAAATAGTGATACGAATAGAGTAAACCTGGGAGAGGATAAGAAAGATAGAGTAAACTTAAAAGCCACTTAATCCAAGTATTAATTTTACCATAGGTGTACAGGGGTCGGTTTTTATGAAAAGCATGGTCGATATTTAATTTACGGTCTAGATACAAGTATGAAGGTTAGTTTCGATATAGCTGTCTAAAAGCTCTTTGCTTGTATTTGCTTTTATCATTTATTTCAATTTATCAATGTATGAATATATTATTATTTCCTTGAATCCCTGATATGAAAGTGAGGTCGCTATTGTGTTGGCGATACCACTTCATGTTGGTATTATTTTATACCCCGTACGGAATGGCATAACTTTCAATAAGTCTTTTTTTGGAGGAAATTATATCGGATTTTTACTGAGTCCTACTCCCTACTGTCTACTTACCTAAATTATGTAAAATGGAAATTGTTTTCCTTTTTGATTCGTAAAATTGCGTAGTCCACCTACGAAACAATTTCTAATATTTTGCTTGTTTACATTTGTCCGCAATACTGTTGCCCATAGGCAAAACCAGTTTCTACCAAATCGTGAGGCTTTTGGCAATGATATGAATATAAATGGGAACTTTAAACTTAGACCTACCTAAAACACCAACGWACTATTCCAAAATGTTTTTGTTAATCGATTATTAGGCGAGTAATTTTATAACTGAAAATTGCCACCAATCTGTGAGTTTAACCGTCCCTCTAAGATAATTTGATTATTAAAAATCGGAACGGAAAGAATTTACTGCAAAAGGGTACAAAACAATCCGTTGCTAATTTGAAACTTTTCCAAAATTACTGTCAGACAAATGGGTGAGGTTTTGAGGCTCGATTTGTTCCATCTTTACTTATCTCATTTTTAAATTAAAAATGCATCATAAAAAACATAATAAAAGCTGCCAAACAAAAAAAAAGAATGCTAAATCTAAATTCAACCTCTTTAAGAGTTACACTGTTAGCGAGAGTACGGCTCGCTTCATCGATATACTAAGCACATATTTATCGCAGAACATCAGATTGGTACCTAGATCACCACAGTAAGATCCTTTGTACTGATATTTGCAATGCACTTCTAATGTTTCCTTTCTATCGAATTTCGCTCATAGATTAATCCAGAAGAGAAATAGAAAGTTTACACATTTTTACTATTTTTGTAAATCAATCATTTAAATCGCGGTGTCAATAGCACATTTTATATCAAATATAAAGTTGCGGATAGTATTCATCTTAAATGTCTCTCCCATCGAGTTTCCCCTCTGCTCCGAAACGGTCTAATGATCTACTTACAGTCGAACTATTCATTTAGCCCATGTTTACTTTATGTTATTTTTTACAGTGAAATATGCCTATTTACGTCTGTAGGTTTTTCAGTCAACAGATGGTGGCAAAAAATATACACTATTTCTCATGGGCCAACGCTTCGACTATATTTAAGCCATCCTGAGGGCTCGAAAAAGGGAAACAGAGGGGTTTCAGCTTTAAATTCGGTGAAGTTGAACACAGTGTCGTCTTTGGAATATAAGCACAGTCATAACTTAAAATTACAATTAAACTTAACAGAAGATTAAAATTAAATCATGACGAACAAGGCATAAAATTAAAATATTTAACACCAATCACAAAAATATCAAATTTAGTCGATAAACTATTAAAATAGTCACGCGGTCAATTTTATAAAATAAATTGCTAAGTGCAGTAACATTTTGGTATACCGTAAACGATACAAAGTTAAACAAATCAGATCAAATTAACGTACGGTGACAAAGCGATGTTGTTTAATTAAAGATGCAAGTGTAAGAGCGCAATCAGCGACTGGTAATAGAAAGAACAATACTCGGTATCAGAAAGAGACGCAATCAACAAAGTCTGTTATTTACGTAATAACTTACCTATGAAGTTAGTGCCAAATTTACGCCAATTCCACAGAAAGTACAGTTTACCGTTAGAGGTACGAATATTTTTTGACTCGCTCGTTAGTATGTTATGAAAGATGTGAAGAATGTTTCGCTGATTATTTCACTCATCCATAGCAACGCCATAGGGCAAAAAAGGTATTAATAAACGGTAATTCGATAATTTTCAAAAAAACTTACAGCGATAATTTCACGTC